GATGCAGTGACACACCTATAAGACATGTGGATGCAGTGACACACCTATAAGACGTGTGGATGCAGTGACACCTATAAGACATGTGGATGCAGTGACACACCTATAAGACGTGTGGATGCAGTGACACCTATAAGACGTGTGGATGCAGTGACACACCTATAAGACGTGTGGATGCAGTGACACCTATAAGACGTGTGGATGCAGTGACACACCTATAAGACGTGTGGATGCAGTGACACCTATAAGACGTGTGGATGCAGTGACACACCTATAAGACGTGTGGATGCAGTGACACACCTGTAAGATGTGCAGTCCCTTCAGTGTGAGGACAGCCAGCTCTCTCAGACCATCCCCTGTCAGGTCCAGGTAAGTGATGGACAGCAGAGGACTCTTGAAGCTCTGCCTCCATTGCAGCTGAAACTCGCCGTCTTTTTCACCAAGTGACGGTTGGAATTTATAACACAGGAGCTCCTGCAGGATGAAGATACATGTTATCATGTTATCATGTTAWYATGAAGGTGAACCCTGATCCCTCTCAGCATCGATCAACTCTGGCTTGTTTTTTTTCTCAGTCATTTTCTACAACAAACATTCTTCAAACAGAAATAGATGTTGTGGATCTGTCAGACTACAGTGCATGACACACTCTCTGATCTATCAGTGTGGAGGGGATCTGTCCATACCTGCCCATATGTTCCCAACAGCACCTCTTTCTGTCCGTTAAAGTCCAGGTCAATGACCAGCGCACAAAGAACAGCATCTGACTGATCGCTCTCTGACAAACAAGTGGACCAAGACAAGCCATGGTTCTGGACATCTCTGAGCAAACACACAGGAAACACCAGATTAGCTCTGTCATATCTGTGAAAATGAACTGAAATGTGCTCCTGTGACCCAACCTGTAGATAACTGCCATCTCAACAGTGCTGGTKATCAGCAGGTTATAACCCTCCATGTCCTTACCTACGACAGAAAAAACATCACAATCATCGCAGACGACACAAACATCAAACTTCCCCAGAGGAATGACCGTACTTCTGTCTCCGCTGGGCTCAGTGTCTCTGCAGCTCAGTCCAAACAGCAGCACAGTGGAGATGGGACTGTCAAACTGAACACGCCAGCTCTGCAGAACCTCTGTTAAAACACAACACAGCCGTGTGAAAACTCAMCACGTGTTTGTTCAGCCACTGTACTGACTGCGTAATGACACACTGAGTGTGTTATATTCTTTCCTGGTATCATTTTAAAGCACTGTGGTGTTTATCGGTCTGCTTATTGTTAGGTGTTGGTCTGACAACGGTACCTGGTCCGTTCTGGTTGACCAGAGCAAGTCCAACGCAGCCATTCTGACAGCCAAATGCTGAGAGGCGCTGCCCATCAGCTGTTCTCAACATATCCAACCACAACGCACTGTAAGGAGGCAGGAGGACCAGTTAGAGCACAGGTGTGTGAGAGACATAAATTGAAATGTAAAAGACAATCRGGACCTAAATGAGACAGGTGTGAGCAGGTGGAACTCACTTGCTAGGCAGCTGTTGGAGTTCAGGAAACAGTTTCTCCACCGGCTGCTCTTCAAACTGGTGCAGAGAGGCGTTCTGTTCAAAACACACCAGTTCCCAGATAAACATCTACAGGTAATCAAACTTCTAATCAAACTTATTTTTTGTTACATGTTAACCACCATGCTTTAACTCAGAGGGTCTCGTGTGCTGTCAGTGTGGGATCCTCAAAATATTGCAATAAAATGGTAATTTTGCCGTATCATTTTAAAAAGTGCAAATACATACAGGGAAGAATGCACCAGTAAATTATTCCCATTATGATATTTAAGGGGTTTTAGAGGTAATTTCCGCCTGAAAATACACAGCAAAATAAAGCAAGAATAGCTCCACAGTTATAAGGTCTAAATGCTAACGCTTGGTAACTGTAAAGCTAAGATCTTAAAGATAATTTGTTAAGTTAAACCACTATTGTTACTCTTACTGTGCCTGAGTTATTTGTGATTAAATTTAAAAAAACTAATTTTTTTAGCCTCGCCTAAATTTTTCTTTAATCAACAGTGCMAAACACAATGAAAATTCTTGTGAAAGCCCAGGAATGCCCTTAGATTGTATTCATCTACATCTTTAGAAAAATTGTAGCAAAGTAGGACTGAATAAGTTGAAGTATTTTCATTCCACAAAGGTTTTAGTGAGCAGTGTGCCAGGCGGAAATGGCATTTTGGCACAATTTAGCCAAATGTACCCAAACTGTGCCAAATGGGTTTTTTACTTTATAAAAGATAATCTGGTCTAATAAAAGTGTTGATTTCTTTTGTAGGTCTCATTCTGCATTTGACATAACCTTTTCTTTTTACATTTACACCGTGCATCATCAAAATCTACCATTGTGCACACCATGAAATCACTGAATGGAACCTAACTCTGCCTCGACATTTTACGCATGAGGGCTGTTTTTTATACTCTCGGTAACACACAAACTTCACGTCACCAAACAAAGAGTAACACAGTGTCAAGATATATCCCTAAATTCGTGAGAGCTTCATCTTTTTCAAAGATACCAAAGGGAGGGGTATGGAACCAAAACTTGCACAGCAACAGATGCGGAGAACTTCCTGATTCTGAAACGGTCCGCGACGGTTCAAGAAACTTACAAATGTTTATATAGCTCTAAAATCATAAATATTTATCCAAAAATTATTTGGCGACTCATTTTAAAAACATTAAAGACACCTTTTGTGACGGAATTAGAAAAAAAAACTGGGAAAAATAAGTTTTACACCTACTTTAGCAAACAACGATGAATGACACCATCTGCTGGCCCTGTACCGGGCCCGTCGGGCTTWAGGGTTAAATTAGCAGTAAATCCGTTTTAAATCAGCATGAGGTTCAGGAGGAAGCTCCTGGAAATGTTTCTCTCCTGCAGGGTTGGATGATATTGGAAAAAAAATTAATCCTGATTGTGATATTTAGTCGATAACGATTAATATGACCATTAATCCCCTGGAGTCCCTGGACGCCTGCATGTCCTAGTCACATGACCAATTTAAATCACTATAGTGGGAAAGATTTGCTCTCCGTAAAAATCTGTTCCAAATTATGTCAAAAGTACAAACTTCAGGCTTTACATCAGTTTTTAAATTGTGTTGATAGACCAAGAAAAACCAGAGTTATGATAAATAAATTACAGAACTTTTTTAAAAATGTTCGTCATATTTGAAGCAGAGAGGAGCACTGAGTGGACTGACCAGAGAAACCAGTCAGTCTGCCTGGTGGTTTTAATCCTATTAATCGTCAAATKCCAAATAATAATTGAATAAAGTTGGATAAAGTTTTTTGGGCTCTTTTACCATCTGTATTATCCGTSTCTTTGATTTGTTATCAGTTTTCCTCCTGTAAGAAAACTAGTGTTCAATAAACTGAATTYKAGAYGATAAACACACAGATGTTAAATAAATGAATTGTGGAAAGAATGAAAACCATACAACACCAGAATCTGGAATCGGAGTGGAGGTTTATTGCTGCTCAGGCAGACAGGAAACCCACACTGGCCATAAAACTGGAAGTTTAAGTATTTATACAGCTTCTTCAACGCCTTCGCTCGCCCTCTACTGGCCTACGGCTGAKTCACAGGCATTCAGACAAAATTCTCACTTAAATGTATTCAAACGGTTATTTATGTGTTGAAAAATGTTTCGGACATGTAGATAGACCTATTTCAATCAAGACATAACAATAGATTAAACACTGTCAATTTCAAAAGGAGAACTAAGAATATAGTGTTGTGCTTCTAAAATCACCTACCTAACACTAAATTTCTTCACACTCCTGTGGTCACATCCAGGGGGGTTGGCTACAGTCCCATGGATCTTAAAGAGCCAATATTATGTGTTTCTCAGGCATATATTTGAATACTATACCATAATAAAGTATCTATGTCACCT